TAGTTGCAAGAAAGAAAATACTAACTTAACCAAGATTCATTTGTTTTCTTCTGGGACGTATTTTTTGTATAAATATGTACATAGAAAGCAAGCGTTAAGGCAGTTAAACTTCCAAAGTTGCAAGGTTATGAAATTGTTCACTCCTGCAGTCTTAATTAAGTATCCTTTGATCTGATGATGTCTTGTAGTCATTTCATAATGAGAGCCTTTGGAGGGAAGAGGGTGTTCAACCTGTCACTTTTTCCATGTGTGGGACCTGAACTATGGTTCCTGAGTGAGGAGCTGTTGGAGGCCTGAGGACTTTCTTCTTAGCTTGCTGCAGACAGTTGAGCCCAGAGCCTGCTCGCTCCTATCGTATCTGGAGACAACTAGATAACATTGACAGAAATGATATTCTTACCACTTGGTGCAGATTTGCTTGTGAGAGCCAAAAGGCTGTTAGATTTTATGGTACTGAATTCTCAGCTGTCTGTACCTTAGGCCTGTTAGCAAAGTTGCTGCTCTGTCCTGTCATTGAGAGCCAAAAGCAGTATCAGGGTGGTGTGGGCCAACCCCGGTGGGCAGCTCAGGCCCACACAGCCACTCGTTCCCCCACAGTGGGACAGGAGGGAGAATCACAAGGGTAACCGTGTGAAAACTTGGGTGTTGAGATAAAGACAGTTTAACAGGTAAAGCAAAAGCTTTGAAGGATTTATTCCAGTGGTGTTCAGCTATCTCCAGGAAAGCAGATCTCCGTCACATGTAACAGTTACCTGGGGAGGTGAACACCATCACTCCCAACGTCCTCCCTTTCCTGTATGGAGAATCCCTTTGGTCAGTTGGTGTCAGCTGTCCTGGTTGTATCCCCTCCCAAATTCTTGTGCCCCCTGCAGCCTGCTCGCTGGCGGGGGGGTGTGAGAAGCAGAAAAGGCCTCGAACGCTGTGCAGGCGCTGCTCAGCAGTAACTTAAACATCCCGGTGTTATCAACTCCATTTTCATCACAAATTCAAACCAGCACCACAAAAGCTACTGTGAGGAAATTTAGACCTGTCCCAGACAAAACCACTACAGCATGATCTAAAGACTTAGTGAGTGACCACATACAACATGTCCCATGGGTTTTAAGCATTTGTCAAAGTTGCATGTGCTGAAAAATTGTTCATATTGATTTTGTTACCTGTACACTTGTATTCCAGCTAATAAATCACCCCAGGAAAGTGTTGAGATGGTACACGCAGTCTGATTGGCTGAAAGGATACTTTTGTTTTTAGTTATGACTCAGTTGCATTTCCATCTAGCAGGAAACTGCTTGGGAATATTTACAAATTTTCAAGCATGTCATAAGCTATAACAGGTATTTTACATTTCTGAAATCTGTATGCTTTGAATTAATACTCCGTTGATGGTATTGAACTTGTCCACATTGTAGTTTTTCCTCGCTGTCGTATTCCTGAAACAACTTCTTGTTTTCAGCCCATTGTTCAGTGTTCTCATTAAGATGTACCACTTCAGTGTTTACAATGTCTTCCTCTGATCCTTCTGAAATGGGTTGCGTACCTTCAGGATCACTCTTCATTGGTGATATTTGAAATTCAGATACAGATTGTTTACCTAGTGGTACTGGGCATTTCTCATAAATTCTGCCTTATTTGAAGGAAGATTATCTTTTCAGTCTCAGGCTATGGTGGCTTTAGTATCTTGCATCAAGTGGAGTAATAAACTACAATTTTAATACAAAATCTGAGAATGTGATTATAGAAGTTAGGATGTTAAAGGATGTTGAATATCACATTATTTTAATTTCCACCAAGTAGAAGAATGCAAGATTCAGGCAGGAAATAATGCTGATCATTGAGCTTGAGAGAGATAAGGAAAGAATAAAAAAAATTTATTGTACTGTGGAGAAAGGAGGGGGGTTGTCATAACCCTACGTTCTACCTTGCAATAATTTTACAAAATCAAAATAATATACTTTAGAAGACTAATGTTTACAAGATCATTTTGATGAATGGGATCTTGTTTTACATTACCACAAAATTTTAACTTTCCAGCAATGTGAAACATTATCATCTATTGTTCCAAATAACAGGCTATTTAGCATATAAGAATAAGCTTTGGTTTTTTATACCTGTTAGCAGAGAACTTTGCTGACGAGGGAGTAATATGTTATTTAACCGAAGTTTGCAATATGATGAAGATGCTTTTCTCATGGCAAACTATTCAAGCCTTGTGTGTATCTTTCACCCTCTTGATATATTAAAAAACTACAAGCAAATGACCAAGAAAACCCACCAAAGAAAAAAGAAAAAAAAAAAAAAAAACAAAAAAGCCAAAACCAATCTAGAATTTTGCTCTAGTGTTGCAATTTCATAATGCAAAAAAAAAAATCCAAATAAACTAGCTTCTAATGCTAATTATGAAGCATTTTCTTGTGTTACTGTTAATATTATTAATATTGTTACTTTGTTTATTCTCTAAACTCTTTAAAGCAAGGAAGCGTAACTGAAGTGTGTCAAAGTAGCTCTATTAGTAATGCGCTGTTGGGCAGCCTGGAGCCTGTTTTGACCAAGCAGCACAACTCAATCAATTCCTTTCTTTCCTGAGAGAGACGAGGGAGTCTCTCTGGTGAGCCAGCCACTGCGTGTGCTTAAAACGTCTAAAGATTGTTCCATGTTTAGTCAAACTCTGCACTTCCAATGCTGGATAGAACGAGAGCATTTACTGTTGTCGAATCCTGGTCATTGCCTGTCTGTTTAGGGTTGATACTGTGCTTGTGAACTGACATAAAGAAAATAATCTGAAAAGACTGGACTAAATACATTTGTGCCTGTAACTTCAAGGAGTAGGCATACCCTTAGCTGAGGTTCTCTACCAGACCTCTTAAAACTGAAAGATTGTTTCAAATTTCAGGTTAACTTTCTCTGAACGGGAAATTGTTAATCTCCTGAGTAATTTGATTATAATCTTTTCAATGGACCTTCAGTTCTTCAGTGTCAGTTTTGTGAGTAGAAACCTTGAGGGTCCCGCTTCTGTGTGTCCACCATGCTTTTGCTATGGCTGTGCCTGCCTGCCCCGCTTGGAAAAGCACTGCAGATTGTACATGGCATGTTAAGAAAAACTGAAGCTGCTGTGGTTTTGCCTTCATAATATGAATCCCAAAATACAGCATTTCATGTATCACCTTGCAGCAACGGGCTGGTTCACGTGGGCAGGTCTGGGGAAAGAACTGCTGTTTCCCTGACTGTATCCTAACATTTCCTGCAATGCTTTTTGCAGGCACTTGTCACAGTTACATAGTGAGGGCTAAGTTCTGCTTTACTCTTAAAATGTAGGTTTCACCTTCTTTATGAAAAATAACTATTTTCTCCAGTTTTACAACTTTTTCTACACATAATGACTTACAGGAAATTTGCTACTGTGATGATTATCTGTAAGTTAATTAGGGAATAGCATATCATTCTTTTTGTTTCAAGTTATGATAATAAAATTAATTTTTAAAGTGAAATTTTGAGCACGTTATATATCAGTTTTGCAAGTTTAATCAAAATAAGTAATAGTTGGTTTATTTTAAGTGGAACTATTATGTAAGGTAAAAGGAGCAGAGGTCAAAAACTTTGGCAGTTTTAGCAAAATCATGATACTCGGGTAACTTAGTTGTCTCTTGCAGTTATTTACATGTAATACGTGGAATTTTTAAAATTCTTTTTTAGACAATTTTTTCTATGTATGGTAAAGACAAACCAGTATATATGAGTAGTAACGGTCATTGAGGCTTGCTTATAAGAGCACTTTCATAAGGCACTCAAATCTTGGAAGTGTAGGAGGAGGTTGAACATTAGTACGGTAAACAGCTATAAGAGTTTTTATTGTTTAAAAAAAAAATATCTCAAGAGTGAAAGCTATATATTTTTTTCAACTTGGTATGATGAAGAACACAAGCCAAAATGATGCTGTTGGTGAACAGCCAATATGTTGGAGCTATAATTATAATATGTAAGAGAAAGGTCGTTTTATACCTCAGTCCGAGGATATTGCTTAAGTTTCATACATTCTGATACTTCTTAATTGAAATGAATTCATTTAATATAAAGCTTTCTGCAATGTGGGTAATCCATTTTGTAAGGTAATGGTATTTGTTCTAGGTAGGTTTCTGTGTTGTTTGTTTGACATTTATAGAGATGATATACCGTATTCTATTTAGGATTTATCAAAATTTTTAGTAAGAACTGTTGGATCTCTTCAGAAAATGGGGGAATCAGACTGAATCAAGGTTAATGGCTGTTTAGAGAATGTGAAGCCTCTGGGGTAATACAGAAGGTGAATAGGTCACAGTGTTCAAGAGCAGCTCTATTTGATTTTCAATTAGAGTCTAGAAGTGTAAGTTATACAACTAGGAATGAAACCCAGAGATAGCTTTGTTTTGTAACATTTGGCTTTTCAGATACTAATATTTTTTTGTGTTTATTAATAAAATATACACCAACAAAGACATTGATATCCTGTATATCCAGTATTAGAATTAGAAACAGTCATATTAAAATGGAATTAATTATCGGCTTCTGCGGAGAAGTCTCACTGATTTGTTGGGTTTATCCTGGATGTATAAAATCTTTCATTGTGATGACAAGTATAATTGGTAAAGGGATTTTTTTATTATTAATATTTGGACCCTCCATGACCACACATTTGCACTAAGAGATAATTTCTGAACCAGAAGCTCCCTGATTTTTCTTTTCTTGGCAAATTAGTCCAGAAAGATTTTTGTTAGATTTAACAGCTGTTTAATGTTATTTCTTGTTTCTTAAATTGTACTGGAACACTGGAACTGAGTAGATGGAATTTTGATGTGAAATTTATACCCTTTTTACTCATTTGCTTATTTTATTTTTTTATTTTTTTTTACAGTTAATCAGTTCTTACAGGTCTGTAGAATGTAGTCCAACTGAATCATTTATATTTTAGTGCATAGAAGTTTGTCATACTTACCTTGTGCTACTTACCCTTTTTTTCTTCTCTATAGGTATATTCGAATTGTTGGGACCCACAACACAGTGAACAAAGTTTTCCATATTGTGGCATTTGAATGCATGTTCACGAACAAAACTTTTACTCTCGAGAAAGGCCTGATAGGTAAGAGAGAAAACTGTTTACATGAACTGTTGTGAATGCTTGCCTTTTAAGATTGGCCATCACTGCACTCTTACTCCTGTTTCCACACAGAAATCTCTAAATTGAGTGAAATGATGCTGCGAACATAGAATTGGTTGGCTAGCCCTTGCAACTTCTTTGAAATTCCAGTTTTGTAGATTAACTAGTGATGCTGCAAGAATGCTAAAGTTCAAATTAAATCAACTGCTGCTGACAAAGCCACTGGCAGTTGAGTCACTCTGTGCTGCTAATCTGATTTTTCTTTGCGTGTTATAGTATGGTTGCTCCTGCATCCCACTAGGTTAGCCTGAATTTGTAACAAGGTTGGAGTAACCACAGTTATTTATTGCAGTGAAAGATGGATTTAGGCATTTAGAGCCTCTTACACAGCCTGGTTTTGACTGCTGAAAGTAAACTCTCAGGTGTTGATTTTCCTCCAAAGAGTCATAGACACTCTTAGCCATGGCAGAACATTATGTTGACTACCTTTATTCTCAGAAGACCACGTTGATGGAGCTCTGTTACCTCTGGAGCTCCAGACAGCTTATATAATACTGATTTAAGTACCTCCATGTAGTACTGCATTACTTAACATAGAAATCCCCAACAAACCAACAATGCTGAATAACAGACTATGTCAGATTTTATAACCATTTTTTTAAACAGTTTAAACAGGGTGATTTCTGTGCTTTCTTCTGTATAAACTCACGTGAGTGAGATCCTGAAATACATTGGGAAGAGTTTTGTGCACCTTTTAGTATTTGTCCAGGTGGGATTTCCTGCAGTTTGTTACTTCTGGCATGAAATTGAGTATTTCAGCAAAATTCTGAGTTCATGCTGGTGCAAAAAATATATTTAAATTTTAAGTATGCACCTACGATAGATGAAAGGGAAAAGTTTTCAAAAAAGAACAAGAGGGAAGATTTTAGTAAGACATATTTGTTGTGAATTCTTTTCCTGAGAAAACTATAGTATTTAGCTGTGGAAAAACTGGCACCCAACTCCTTCTGCCTATTCCCCATGTGTTATACAAAGGCATTGCATGTTTACATTCAATCTCATGAAGTTTGCTGTGTAAATTCATGATGTCTTTTTTAGAAGCATAGAATATGTAGCCTGACAGATTGCACTTTACTAATTTTTATGTTATATAGCCTCAAATTGTACAAGCTGTCCAATAATGCAAATAGAAAGATTTCCATTTTCTTTTAGGGGGTTTGCAAGTAATATTGCAATTGCTATTGACAAGAAAATAAAATAAGCCGTAAGGAGGAATTGTGTTTAAAGAAAACATCTGCCTTCATTGAGCTAGTTAGGGGAGAACCAAAATTTTTCAAGTTCCATAAAACCTTTGAGCTAAATTTTATATTTAGCACTGCCAGCTATGAACTTTTAAAAAACTTTACACAAAATCAGAGTTACTGTGTGCAAATACGTGATGCGTATATCTGTATATATTTGATTTAAGATTATCAGTCTTATTTAGCAAATACTTAATTTAGGACTCAAGTAATATACCTATGTTCCTTTTTTTTTGTTTTCGTTTGTGTGTTAACCAAAAAATTGTTTAATTGTAACAGTAGTCAAGGTAGTGAACCCATGTATGTTTGTGAAAGTGGACTTGTACCGTAATTGACTTGTCTTTCAGATACTCTCTGATATTTTACAGTTTAGTGAGCATTTTAGTGAGGCAAACTATTTGATCTGTTTCAGCATTTCGTCAGAGTTTCAAAGATAATCTAGTGGATGAAGGCGTTATGTGGCTTTATTAAAATTTATCTGTTTATGAAAATTTATTTGGTAGGTACAGAATCTTACAGGTAAATAGGGTTTGGACTACATAATAGTGAATATCCATTGTTGTTCATGGTGATCAGTGGAATTACGCAGTCATTCATTGTGGGTAAATGAAGCTTTTGTACATGTAAGTCATTTGAAGTGATCGACAATAATCAAAGAGAGGCTTTTTATATTGAAGGGATGATACTCAACACACTTACTGAATTCTTACTGTCTTAATTTTTTTTGAGTAGTTAATTGAAAGGGGGAGGTGGACCAACATCTGATTGTAAATGAGGTGGAAACAGTTGGATACATGACCTTACAGAATTTATGGTGAGAAAGGGACAAGTGAAAAGTTTTTTGGGACTAAATGAGGGCAGTCCTGTTGTGAAATGGTGCAGGGGCACAAAGGCTGTACGATCAGAATTTATGGCCATTGATGTTACCTATTCAAATATAATCTCAACAGCCTTGATCCAGCAAAGTGACCTTATATCCATTTAGAGTTTTGGTTTACATACCTGTGACGGTTACTGTAAGGTAGAATGTTATCTGGCTCCCTTGATCAAGCAGACTGTCCCACTTCCACTTCTGTAAAAAAAAGAAATCTGTGTGACTACCAATGGGGTATAGTTGGCACAGATTTATTTTATCGCTCCAATGGGGATTTGTAATGTTTGCTTCTCTTTCTGTAGTGACTGGATAGGGGAAAGTGGACTGGAAGCAGTTAGAAAAGCTCCATAAAATATATGAAAGTGCAGCAATCAGAGTAGGTTGCTTTTAAGCTTGACTGAGTATAGAAGCTGTCAGCTTCAGCTCCTGAGAAGTGGTATTAGGTAATACTATTGAGTTAATTGTTTATGCAGTATGGTATTAAATTAGGTTGGAACAAAGCTGCTGTTTCTATAACTTGTTTTATTAAGAAAATTAAATGTCGTTGGCCCTTGAAGGCCATATGGTCCTTTCAGACAGACTTTGTGACCCTTACTTCTACCAAAACAACACTGAAGATAATATGCAAAGAGTTTGTCATTTGAAACCTCATTCCAAAGAAATAAGGCCACAGAGGTATTTGTTTAGAGATCTTATGTGGAGATTTAAGAGTAATTATTTATTTAATCTTCGTGAAACCTATTCAACTTGATCTGAAAACTGTGTATACAAAGAGGGTAATTTATCAGATATATTACTACTGATACATAGTATTTATGTAACGGCTGTTACTGTAAAGTGAAGATTAGAAGGCTGGTAAACAAATAATAAAAATGGAGCACTCTTTCATGATAACAGTAATTTTATGTTGCTGTGTTTTTGCATACAAGATTTTAATGACAAATTATTAACTTGACATATTACGTTTAAAAGTTAATCTTGAAGATTATTTACACAGTTACTTTATAAAACACTGGATGCAATACTGACATGACCTGTTGGTAGTTGAGTAGCAGTTTTGAAGTAAAAGTAGCAGGAAATGCTCTTTCTAGCACTGTCTGGTGTTTTAGTGTTGGTTTAGGCTTTGTTGTCTTGTGAAATGAGGTAAGTGACAGAAATTAATTCAATCATACAGAATTATTCCCTGACGCAGATGTTAGGGTTGAGATGCAGTTTTCCTTTTGGCATAGTATTATCTCTAAATGTGTAAGTTAGTTAACGGTTCTGCGTATTCGCCTCATGACATTGACATAACTGTTTCATTTAACAGACTTGTAAATGTTTTCTAAATCTCAAAAGCATAGTGTTTGCTTTTAATGAACTTCTACTTCTGACATTTTGAATGGTCTTTAGTCATTAATATTTTATCTAGAATCAGAAAAAAAAAAAAAAATTCATAAGCAAGGGATGACATACTCCTTTGGAGGCAGAAGTGGTACCTGGTGTGATGTAATGTTTTGCAAAAGCTTCTGCTTTGTCCAGTGACAAGAAGCTGCAACCGTGGGCATAGGGCTGCTTCTGTTCACTGCCTTTTTTGGTTTGGGTTTTGGTTTTTTTGGTTTTTTCCCATCTAAATATAGGAACCAATTCCTCCTTTCTGCCTCCAAGGAAAAAAAAATTATAACTTCGCTTAGTGCTTTTCCTGAGTCCAGTACTCGGTGCTGAAGGGCCGTCAAGGACTATGCAGGTGTGTGGCTTTGACCAGTCTACTGTCCTGATTTGAGCCTGGTAAAGGTCATAGGGAGTGCAGTGTGGAAAGCTTTTATATGAAGTTGTGTTTATCTGTAGTCTGTCTCAGTCTATCAGACTATCTTGTAGCTTGTACATTACACACGAAGGGAAGAACAGTGAATAATGGCTAAAGAGCAGGAGATGGATATAAAATACTGGAATGTCCTTGGTCAGCCTCTGGGGAATGCTGTTCAGTACTTATGAATCATTGTGAACCTTCATTTGTGTGCTCTTAAATGCCTTAGGATAACTTTTTTAAAAAGGGAAAAAATGAAGTGAATAAATAATCATTCACTTCTCTTTTACTCACTGGCACTTATTGAAAAAAAAAAAAATATGAAATGTGTAGCAAAGAGAAACAAGTCTTATCAGTTTCCTAGTGTGTCATTCAGCTTTGTAAAAGATTGCTCTATCTCTCTCCAAGGAAGCAGTGAGAGATGCTATTTTTGTATCTAGTTTAAAGTTGACTTCACACAAAGCTATCATAGTTTGTTTCTTCTGTTTTTTAAAGGTTAGCCTTCTTTCAAAGCCATGCAGGTTTACCCAGCAATGTAAGTCAGTTCTGCTGAAAGCATAGTCTTAGGAAATTATGAAAATTGGAAGGCCATCTAAATACTGCAGGCTTTTTTTTTTCCTCTTTCTACAGGAAAGGACAGCCACATGGTCAGTTTAGTTACTGCTACCAATTCTTCAACAGAGATCTGTTCATATGGTTCCAGTTACTTTTTTTAAAATTTTCTTCCAATTTCCAGTGCTGCAACGAAGGATGGGTACTTCCTAGGGCTCTTCTGAAAGAATTGCTATTTCTGAAAGCCTTCTTCAAGCAGAATGTTTGATGAAAGAGCCCTGTAGCCAGCCAATTGTTTGGCAATTGAAAGTACAGCCAGTTTTAATGATTTGAATGCTTTTGTTCTAATTTATTGGACTGGAAATCACAAGCTCTAGTAGATATCACAACTGACAAATCATCCTTCTCTGAAGTTATTCTAATCCAAACTGACAATTGGACATAGACAAATATTAGTGGAGTTTTATTC